CTATTATTAAATAAAATGAACTGGTTTTTACAGAGGCCTTGTTATCTCAAAGAAGAGTTCTTTGCTTACATGCTGATATCCCACTATTTAAATGTTTATTCTGAGCAAACAAGCCATGAGAGGATCAAGTGACATTGTCTCTTTGGATGAAACATAAATTAAAGGTGATTGTATTATAACATAGTCAACCGTCCATCTACTCATTTCTGATTAATATAATACCTACACATCATATTCTACAAATTTGAGACTTGTTTTGACTATTTTGTTTAATGAGTTTTCATCTAGTGTAACCAAAGCCTGAGAACACATAGGACATCTGAGTTACCTAAGCCAATTTTAACCTGGATATATTTTTGCCTGAATAAACTTAAAAAGGGTTAAACCTAAGGAATGGCAGGCTTCATTCTTAGACATGCTTAATGGTGTGTGGAGGCCACTGTAATGATTGTTTTCTGATTAGCTTGGTTTAAAGTAAAAGGGCTACCAGGAATTAATGGTAAGGCAGACAGTGAGTACTCCAGTTGCTGCCTTCCCAAGCCACCTTTCAGTATACTCATTATAAAAAGTAACATTTAAAAGGCAAATGCTGCTGTATTCCTTATTTGGAATACTAAAATCTAAAGTTGCATTAAACTTATTTGTTTCCTCTTTTCCCTCTTTAAAATTTGAAATTCAGTAAGTGAAATATTTAAATATCAGCCCTTAGGGCCAATGAGAATGCTCCTTGGGTAAAGCACTTGCTGCCAAGCCTGCCAACCGCACTTTAATCTCTGGGACACATGTGAAAGAAGAGAACCAACTACCCCATGATTGTCCTCTGACATCCACATACTCCGCGGCACACACCCCCCCAACACACACATCATACACTCCTCGTATTCAAACACAAATGTAATTTTAAAAAATAATACAACCAACTGATAAAAGAAAGTATTGTGTATTAACTACTTGTAAAAATCTGCAAACTCATTTGGTTCCACTTTGATTCTAGGGTTTAAAAAGTATGGCTAACGTCGGCCATCCCTTTAAATCATTAAAATATAAAAGCCAAGACCCAGGCTACCTAACTATCAAATGATCCAGGAAAGATATCATGAGTGGTTTGTGTGATCAGGAGTTGCTAGGGTACGGGCACAGTAAGATTTGCCCAGCTTGATTCTTTGGGGTTTCTACGGAAAATGCTATTTTCCGTATAAAATTAGAACTGATTTCTCTGGAAATACTGTAACAAAAGATATGTTAGTCAGCATGTTATGTTATCCAGAAACGTTCCTAATCCTATAAAGCAACAGAGCTTTTATCAGCTGTTGTCCTGAAATGTGCTAGTTTTTATTCATTCACTCTAATGAAAGTCAATACTTTTTTCTTCTTAGATGTTTTTCTTGTTTAGAATAAAAAGACAGTAATTTTCCAAGAACCATGCATCTCTGATTTGGCCCAAGATCAAGTTGGATATTGAGTAGTCTATTCCAGGGCAGATTTCCTTAGTGAAAACCTTGTCTTTTCAGATATGTATTGTTTTGAAATGTTTCCAGATGTCTAAGATAATTTCAACAAAAGTGTAATTCACATAGAAAGAAAGGTTATGTAACCCTTTTAGTAATAACAAAAATTGATTGATTCAGATGTTAAGCAACGACAGTTTGCTCACCTCCTGGCTGTGAGAGGGGTGGAGAGTAGGCAAGCAGAACTTGTTCCTCTGGTGCAGTGTATGAATCCACAGGAAGGATCATCCCATAAGGAAAGCTTATGAATATGGCTTTTGCAAAGAATTAGACATAATACTGTAATTTTAGGTTGTGCTCTGTACTCTTTCAGTGGAATTATTTAAGCTCTTTAATGACCTTTGTTCTTCCCACTTAAAGATAAAATGTAGTATATATTGTATAAAATGAAAATATTATAGCTTAGGGAAACTGTACATAAGGCATTGATAGGTTAAAGGAAACATTTTTATTATGTAATTGTAAAACACCAAAAATACGGATTCATCTTTGATATGTAACACACTAAATGTATTTTGTACAGCATCTGATTTAAAAAGGTGCCTTATTAAGTTTACCATTAATTGCTTTGTTCTATATACAGATTATGTTCAATGTATCATTTTTCAGTAAATAACATTATTTTAGTATACTTCAGTGATGTGTTTTGTGATGCTGTTCTTGGATTTATTGTGTATCAGAAGTCATCTATTGAGATTTTATAATAAGTAAGTCAGTGTACATATATACGTTCCTGAACATGCACTTCAGCTTCCAGAAACCCAGCACGAAACATGGCTAGGTAAGTGGCCATACGTTTTTTGCCTTTATGTAGAGATGATGAACCTACTATATATAGTGAGGGGATTTTTTTCCTTCTATAAAAAATGAAACATTGTTTCCTGGTTATAAAAATGTGTATTTATGACAGAACTTTTGGGAAACAGGAACGAATAAAGCAAATAAATACTCCGTTTTATTGACAGACACCACAATTTACATTTGATTGTCTTTTTCTTCTTTAAGATTTATTTTATATGGGTGCTCTGTTGACTTTATGCCAAGAGGGCATCAGATCCCATTATAGATGGTTGTGAGCCACCATATGGTTGCTGGGAATTGAACTGAGGACCCCTGGAAGAGTAGCCAGTGCTCTTAACTGCTGAGCTTTCTCTCCAGCCCCAGTATTTACATTTGAATGTTTCCTGCATTTTTGTAAATACCATTAATATCATGGTATTCTATTATGTGTCAGTTGAAAACACCATATATTGGCAGAGTATGGTGTGCACGCCTTTCAATCACAGCACTTGGGGACACAGAGGCAGGTGGTTAGTCTGATCTGCAGATCAAGTTCCAGGACAGCCAGGGCTACACAGAGAAACTGTCTCAGAAAAAAAGAAAAACATCAAATGCATTACTCCATTACATTCCACTCCCACAAAAGATGCTCTTAAATTTAGCTCAAGCAGTACTGTGCCTTCTAAGTAGAAGAGACTGTAAATACATACCATAAGGTGTAGGTGGTGGTGCATGCCTTTAGTCCCAGCACTCAGGAGGCAGAGGCAGGAGGATCTCTGTGAGTTGAGACCAGCCTGATTTACAGAGTAAGTTCCAGGACAGGCTCCAAAGCTACAGAGAAACCCTGTCTTCAAAACAAAACAAAACCCAACTTTCAAGCAAGGTGTTGTGGCCTTTGTGGATTCTCTTGGGTTCAAGGGCAGCCTGGTCTACATAGTTCCAAGACAACCAGACCCTGTCTTGAAACAAAAACAAACTTTCAAAAACAAGCATGTGACCACATAGAGGAAATAACTTATTTCTATGATCTCCTTCTATTTCAATTTTTTTTATTGTGGTTTTGTTTTCATTTTTAAAGAGGATAAAATTGGGGCTTGCTTGTAGCCCAGGTTAGCCTCAGACTCTTTATATACACTAGCCCTGCCTGAGTGGTATCTTCAGCCCCCTCACAGAAAAACACACGTTGAACATCATTGTACATGAACCCTATTTTTTGTTAGATCCTAAATACAGATATGTATATTATAATTTTATTTGCAATAAAGGAAAGTTAAGGCTCTTGATATTGTCCTATCATCAAACATTTTATTTGCACTGTATAGGGTGATGTTCTTCAAGGCTGTTCCTTCCATTTGATGAGGTACCTTTAACTGTCCTTACTGTGTTCCCACTGCAGTGAGAAGGAAATCCCTGTATGGTTTGCTTTTATCCCACAATGCCATATTTCCCACCTATGTTGAGTCTTGTCACCTGCCAGGTAGTTTGCAGTAAGTTCCCATTTGCACCTACTTGTAGGGAGTCAGACACGTTTCCATCTTAAAAGATTTATTACTGGTTTGTGTTACTCAACAGCATGCTTAGGGTCAGCCACTGCACTTTCCTTGCTGAAGCTCTCATTTCATGTTAGTGTAAAACAGTGTTGTTAAGAAATTCTGAATAGAATCTATTGAGAGAAGCTTATTTTGACTCAGTTTGAGAGGCTGTCAGTCCATTGTGTGTATCCTTGAGTAAAAGACTGATTATCTAGCCATGATATGGTGATCTTAACTTTGTAAGGTCACCATTGTCACCTGTGTTCCAGCTCTTTGCCTCCAGAGGGTCAGCACTGTCCTGTATTGGGTTTAGGACTGACTTCATAGTTCTGCTCCAGAACTCCCAAGTGATTTGGGACAGTTTAAACTTGAGGCTCTCCAGCAATCCTAATATTCAGGGTTAGGATTCCATGTTGCTATTTAATTTATAACATCTTTCCTATCTTTGCAAAGAATCACTGAGTCATCTTAATGGGGCTCTGATGCTCTTTCATAGTCTTTTCAGGGGCCACAAGTGTTTTAAGCTGCACTAGGTCAGTTTCCTGTCTATCTGGAGAGCACTGGGAAAGTTTCCACCTAGCATCAGGTATCTCAATACAGATGAGACTCCATCAAAATTTTGAAATTCTTATGGACCTGGGGCCCAGGGGAGGGGCATGGTTCAGTTGGTAAGGTGCCTTCCATGCTAGCTTGAAGACATAAATTTGGCTCCCCTGGGTGCAATGTGTATCTGTAATCCTAGCATTGGGGGTGGGGACACAGGCAGGTCCCCATCTGCTAGGCAGCCTAGCCAAATTGATGAGTTCCAGGTTCAATGAGAGATCCTGCCCCCAAAAATAAGGTGCAGAGTAGCTGAGTAAGATACCCAGTGTTGCTGGACAGTGGTGGTGCACACCCTTAATCCCTGTACTTGGGAGGCAAGGGCAGGTGAATCTCTGTGAGTTCAAGGCCAGCCTGGTCTACAAAGCTAGTTCTAGGACAGCTCGGGCTATGCAGAGAACCCTGTCTTGGGGGGAAAAAATACCAAGTGTCAACCTCTGGCCCTTGAGCACGCACGCACACACACATGCACATACCCAAATGAACACATACATTGCAACAACCTACACAAGTGTATTTGTGTTCACACACAAAATTTTTAATGATTTGGAATCCTAATCAGAAATGTCTAAACAGAAAATGTAGCTTAAACTTGATGTTAAGGCTTTGTCAAATGTAATCAGGTGTGTTTATTGCATAGAAAGCCCCTTGCTAAAGAGAACCATTATTTCTCCTCACTCTAGAAACAGCTTCATACAGTGGTGGTGGAACACCTGACTATCTAGTGCTTTTTATTTATTACCTTCTTGTGAGGGTTGGTGACAAATACCCTTTCTTGGGGGAACTTATTGACACTGTATTTCATGCCAGAAATCCTGAACAGAAGTCTTTAGTGCTGAGACTACATTGCCCTACCATCCAGCTTAGTCCTAGAAGGGACTGGCCAGAGACAGCAACATGGAGCACAAGATACCCAGGTCTGCTGGCAACAAGGGTGATCTGCCATACACATGGCTCCCCAGGCTTTGGTCTGTGGTGGCCCAACCACACATGCCCTAGTTCAGAAATAGCCTCAGCAGCAGAGCTGTATTGAGGTGAGCAAGATTCAGAGATGTGGTCAAGATCACGGAGTTTGAAAGCACTAGATGATTAACATTTAGAAGAATTGTGGCTTAGCCCATGGTCAAACTGTCAGTGACAGAGTGGCCTGGCTTACTATTCATCTGACACTGGTACCACAGCACATTGAGTGCACAAAGCTTAGTAAGTAAATTCTAAGGGTCAATTATTTGAACTGAGGACCCCAGCAAGCAATTTAATATGGAGATGTTCTGAGGACACTGAGCTCTACCAAAGCCTGCTTTATTTTCTGATGACTGCTTTCTTGAGCCTGTGGTAGGGTCCAGAGACTTGTAAAGCACATAGAGATGCTGCAGAGAGAACTGCCATTCTGTACTGTCCTGTTTACTTACTGTGTCCCTGCCTAGTGAGGAGGCTTTTAGATAGTCTATGTAGAATTAACTGAGTATTAATAGTTAAATATGCCTAGAATGGTGAGTCACATTTGCCCTAATTTCATTTTGTCCCACAAGTGCTTCATCAAATGTTTCCTCTCACAGCGGTATCGTTTTATTCCAAAGTTGGTCTTTATCAGGGGAGTTCAGTTTCTCTCCTTCCTTCTTAGAGATGCTGGGGAGGGTGTGACCAGTCATGATAGTGGAAGAATGAAAGGGGCAAAGGCCATACCCAGTGTTGTCTCTGGTTGACATCTCTGGGCCTCTACACTGAGTGAAGCATGAAGGAAATTAAAATTAAATATACAGATAAAGACAAAGGGTGACTGAAAGTTAAAAAACAGTATTATTAATTTCTTTTGTTATTTTGAGCCTTGAATTGTTATAAAACTGAAGATGGTCCTGAACTTCTGGTCCTCCTGCTGCCTCCTCTATGTGCTGAGATCACAGGCACCACCATGCCCAGTTTATACAGTGCCAAGGACTGAATCCCCAGCCCAGAGATACTAATTTCATTTCCTATAGTAGATTCAACCAGGCATTAGCTCCCTTCTGAGACTAGAAAGGCTGTTTTGAACTAGTTTTCCTGTAGTAATTAGAGACTTATTTCCAATTTTAGGAAGAAAAAAATCTCCATTTTTTTTTCTTCAAGTTTTTTGAGGTATTGGAAAGAGAATCCAGGGACTTGTACATGCTAACCGCTCAATAAGCTACACCTGGCCGGTCACCGTCACTGTAAACATTTCTCCTGGGAAACAAAGACTTCCTGACATAGAGAAGAAGAAATAGAAAAAAATACAAATGTACAGAAGTTTCCAACCACAGAAGGAGCAAAATGCCAAAATAAACAAGTAACCTGTGGAATTGAGGGAGTGGCTTAGAGCCAAGATAAGCCATGCCATTGGGGAAGGCATGAGAAGCCCAGCTCCCACTCCAGGCACCTGCACAGGCGCAGTCCAGAGAGCAGCATTCCTGGCCTCCCCCACCTATGTTTTCAAAAGAATTCTACAAAAGGCGTCCAGGAAAGAGCTAGGCCACTATATGTTCTTCAGCCAGATCCTCAGTCTACAGACAGCAGGTAAGTCTATCATGTCTGATGCAAGCAGAATCCAGGGTTCAGGTCTTGAATATTAGGAGGCCCCCAAATGCAGTGTGTGGTTGGCTCCCCTTTGTTACTGATCCTTGGATTAACTCAAACCACACTCTTTTGCCCTTTTGCAGCTCTGCCAAAGCAAAAGTAGTGGCTGTGCTCCCACCCCTCTGTTCTGTACTGTAGACTGGAACCCGGTGATGGCCTTCAAATACCAGCTGCCCCATGCTTGGGCCTGGGCCAAATGTGATGCTCACTGCAAACAAGTAGATGCCATGTTTGGGGGCTCGGAAGTAGCCGTGTTCAGGGAAGTAGCTGCTGCCCACGTTGATGGATGTGGTGTTGAACTTCACCATCTGCAGAGCAGTTGCCGCTTCTGAAGAACTGGCATAGAAGGCCACAGGGGAGTCTGGGGGGCAGGAGGGGGGGATACTCAGTGAGTTATCCATTCTCTCAAAAACGCTGCCTTCTTCACCTTAATTGCACTAGAAGCAGGACACTGTTTCTAAATATCTTCAACATCCCAAAGGTGTTTGTCTCAGACAATGTGATTTCAAAGAGTGAGAGAGGAGGGGACATCCAGATATGTTGTCTGGCTCATCAGGGCACTTTCTCCTTTGATCTTCAATAAAGCACTTTGTCCTTTGATCTTGCCCTTTCAACTCTCTAGAGACATGTGTGCCTTTGACTACCCAAAGCTTGTGGCTTAGTGGGATGTGCTAAGAAACCTGGGTATCTAACTCCCAGATGTCTGCTACCTGCCAAGGAGCCTTCTTTCCTTGCAAATCAGTGCTAGGAATGAACATGGGGCCTCACACATGCTAGACAGTGCTCTACTACTAAGTCATCCCCCCAGCACATATCTCCTGGGAATCTTGAGACATCTGGGAAAAAAAGAGAATATTACCTATCTTCAAAATAATGTTAACACTGGGAGATACTTGGGAGCAGAAATGGTGGTTCTTATCAGATGTGGGCACAAGAGCATAAAGAAAAAGGAAGGAGAAACCCCTTTGAGTAAGGCATGGTAGTCCACACCTGTAATTCTAACCCAGAGGCAGTAAAATCTTGATTCTGAAACCCTTCTGGGCTATACAGTAAGACCTTTCCTGAGCAAGGGGGACCCCCTCTGGCTAGTCATCTAAATTGTTTGTAATTATTATTTTATGTGTATGGCTATTTTGCCTGCATGCATGTCTATGTACAGTATGCATGGGTGGTGCCCACAGAGGCCAGAAAAGGTTATCAGATCCTCTGAAACTGAAGTTATAGATGGTTGTGAGCTGCCATGTGGGTGCTGGAAATTGAGCCCAGGTCCTCTATAGGAGCAGCCAGTGCTCTTGCCATCTCTCCAGCCATAGTTAGTCATTTTAATAATTTCCAAAATGTTGCATTCACAGAGCCCTAGCATTGCATGTGGGCAAACTGAAGCCTTTAAAGGGACAGTTTGCTGATCCAGACCACATGAGCAGAGAGCAGACCTTGGGCCCTCTTGATTCGGGGTACTCTCCTGTCTTTCTCGATTGCAGAAGCCACTCCCTCCAGCCCCAGGAGCACAATCAAGCTAGAGGCAGAGCAATACCTCACCTGAACCAGAGGAAAAGTGCCAGCTACACCACCTGTCAGGGAAAATGACAGCCAGTGGACTGGAGTCCAGAAAGTGAGGCTAACCTTGGCAGGATCCTTTTGGGAGTTCCTTCATCTGTCTCTGTCTCTGTCTCTCTCTGTCTCTGTCTCTCTCCCTCTCTGTCCCCCCCCCCCCACACACACACCATGTAAGTGCCCATTCCTCAGGAAACAGAATCAAGACTTCAAATTAAGTGCAAAGCAGTTAGTGACTTGAGTCTCAGACTGCAATCTACGTTTTTGCCTCGGAATCCAGAAATAGCCTTAGGAATGACGAAATTTTGCTTCTCTCTGTGTCTGGAAGTTTTTATGGGAATTGTTTATGAATAGCTTTCCTGTTTGTGCCACAGGGAATGCCAAGAGCTGGTGCTTCAGTCCCCAAACATCCAGCAGATGGCGCTCCTGCCTTGGTCAAAGGAGGCTGCCCTACAGTGCCTGCTGTGGGCCATGAGTTCTTTCACTATAATATGCCCATTATCTGTGAGTCCACCTCAGCAGGAGACCCTAAGGGCTTCAGAAGATAGAAGGGCTATGCAAACTGAGCATGCACTGCCCTGCGGGGCACAAATTCAAGTTCTATGGCCTTCTTGCAAGAAAAGAGTTTTTTAAAAGGGAAAAAAAAAACTTTCTGAAATTAAAAAAAAAAAAAATACTGCAGGAGTAAACAGACACCTGACCTTATCAAGCAAATGGTGAAAATCAATCATCAGCTTGTTGGAGCTTGTACCACTCACAGGAGAAAGAGATGGAGGAGTTAGTATAAGTGCATGTGGCCCGGTTCCTGCATATTAAGCCTGTGCTGGGGAAAGGAAGCTGTCAGGTGACAACTTTTCTGTAGGGGATGCTGTAGCCACACCTGTGAGGGATGTTCAGGTGGCGGGTTTCCGGTTTCGGTTTCACTTTCTGCTTGCTGTACAGACTACTGCCCTCCGATTGGCTAGGTTGCTTTTGTAAGTAAGGCTTTTTCCCTATTAAAATCCCTTGTATTTCTACCTGCCTCTGTATTGGTAATTTCCCACATTAGTGGGCCCCTCAGGACCTTCTGTGAACCTCCTGCTCCTGAGAGCCAGCCTCTTTGGGCCGCTTGTTGCCTGGGTGGGGTCATTTCCTGGGTTTGAGCCTCGGTTTGAGGTGAGATGTGGTGATAATGAGTGCATGATTGAGTAGCTAAGGCTGAGTCATCGTGGTAAAGCCCAGGGAAGGTACTGCAGGATACTTACACTGCCAACTGCATTTACCAAGAAAGCCCCTTCCTTCTGAGCATAAGGCCTTTCCCTGTATTCACCTCTTGTGGGGTGCTGCCATTATAGATGATTCCTGCTCCAATCCACCCTCCCTAGAGTGTAGGGCTGAGGACTAGGGTGAGGGTGAAGAGTTGAGACATTCTACTCTGCTAACTCATGGGCTCTGGAACTACAACTGAGTTTTGAGACTTGTACCTGCCTGTACTCCAGGTAGCTTACGAGGCTCATAGCTGCAAGGTGTGGTGGCACACTCCTTTAATCCCAACACTTAAGAGGCAGAGGCAGGTGGATCTCTGTGAGTTTGAGGCCAGCCTGGTCTACAGAGCGAGTGCCAGGTCAGTCAGGGCTACACAGAGAAATCCTGTCTCAAAGGAACAGACAGACAAACAAAAAGAGGCCCATAGCCTTGAAGAGAAGGGGAAGGTAGCCCCCTGTGGTGTGGTGACCAATAGCCCTGCTTCTTTCACCCTGGGCCCTCCCCTCTCCCAGGAGAAGGGAGAAGCCCTGTCCTAGATTCACAGTCTCCAGGGCCCCAGCACTCACCTGCTTCCCAGAGCTCTGAGTCCAGAGCACCTTTCGCCATCCTTTTGGCATGTGCATCTGCAGACATCACCACTTGCTTCTTCTCCCTCTTCCGAGATGTTTCTAGGCCCTTCTGCTGCTTCTTCTCTTTCTTGCTCAACATGGCCTGCAGCTTACCCAGGTCTAGGCTGATGTTGCTTGCCACCAGCTCTTGAAAGTTCTGGAAAAGGCCGTGGAAGAGCTGCTGGTGCTGTCTGAGGCTGTACCGAGTGTCAGAGAGCATGCTGTGTAGATCTTCAAGGGAGCCATTGAGGGGGGCAGCCCAGGAGGCCTCACAGCACTGCCCAACCTGCTTGACGTTGGAGCTTAGGCGCTGAATCTCCTGCTCCAGGTTCGCCAAAGCCGTGGCTTCCTCTGCCGTCCCAGAGTCGTGACTGGGTTGCAGTCGTTCTGCCAACTGTGGGTGATGCTCCAAGGCCTTCTCCAAGGCCTGCACCCGACTGGCCAAGGTATTCCAGCCAGACGCCTGCTCCTGCAGTACCCTGGCGGCGTCCTGCAGGGAGACGCGAATCTGCTCATAATTCAGGGGCAGAGGGCGAGGCACCTCCTCCAACATCTCCTCCATCATCTCTTCCCCAAAGAGGGCATTCAGCATCGCCTGATGCCGCAGCGCATCCTCCAAAAGGGCTGCAAAGGAGCTATGCAGCTGGCGCATCTCTCTGCTGGTCTGGTTTGCCACAGCCTTCAGAGCTTCTACCGCGTGGTCCAGCGCCCGCAGCTGGCTCCGCATCCGGGCCCTTTCGGCCCGCGCCCGCTCACCCTCTCCTTTGTGCTCATCCATTGTTGATGACATGGCATCCACAGTGCTTTGCAACGCCTGCAAAGAACCGTCCAGCTGGTGCTGCACATCTAGGCTCACTTGGGTCTCTTCCAGGGTGTGCATGGTGTCCCTTTGACCCTCCCGGATAACGTCGACTTCAGAGTAGAGCCTCTGGCAGTTGCAGTCCTTGACATACTTGATGAGGTCTGCGTGACCCACCTGCAGATGCTGCAGAGTGAGGTTGAGTTCCAGTAGCTGCCGCTGCATCTCCTCTTTGTTCTCCTCCATGATCAGGGACTTTTCTATCAACATCACCCGCAGCTCTCGAAGCCCCGTGTGGTTCACCAGCAGCTCCTCCACCTGCCGTTCTACCTTGCTGATCTGATCGAAGGTCTCATCTGATTCAGAATATAGCTCCTTGATTTCATCCACATGCCTTTTCAGGACACTGTCCATCTTCTTGAGGGTGCTCTGCAACTCCTCCTCCCTCCAATCGATGACGGCGTGCAGAGCAGACATGTTTCTCTGTAGCTGGCCCAACCTGGCCTGCAGGCTCTCTGGCTCTGGCCTTGCTGCTGATGCCACCGCCAGGCTGCCATTGGCCCCTGGAAGTTCGTGAGCCTTGACAAGCTGCTTTAACTTGGTGCTCACCTCAGCTTGGATCTCAGAGAGGGCATGGTGCACAGAACGGCGCTGGGCATGCAGCTGGTCCTCCACATCCTGCCACAGCTGGCTCACTCTCTGGTTATTCTCCTGGATCTTGGCATCAAACTTGGCCCCAAGCTCTTGGAGTTCAGTCCCGGTCACAGTGCTCTCCTGGACCATCTTGACAGCCTGGTGATTGGCTTCCACATCAAGAGACAAGTTTCTGACAGCCTGAGAGAGGCTGTGCAAGCTTTCACTGAAGCTCTTCAAGGTGGGACTAAAGTGTGCTTGCAGGAACGCATTGATATGGGCCTGCAGCAGGTGCGCTGACATCCTGCCAGCAAACTCTGCAACAAATACCATGTTTCACACAAGTCTGCTGCAGCAGACACCCCTCCCCAGGCTGGGTGAGTAGGGCCTCTGAAGTCTGTGCCTTCTTGGGGGCTGCTACTCACCAAATTCTGTTTGATTGGCTTCTGCGGTCTCAACTGTGAGGTTGCTGGCTGGGGTCTCCCAAGGGCCTGGGAGGCCATCTTCAACCAGCTGGGCATCATTCTGGAGATCTTGAAGCAGGTGTTCCTGTTGTTCCTGTGGCACCTGAATGTCATTGAACTCTGTAACAGGGTGGCCTGAAAATCCACCAGACATAAGTGTTAAAGGCCTACTCAGCAGGTCTGGGCAGGTAATGCAGTCAATAAAAGACTTGGGATTCAGAGCAAGTGAATATGTTGGCCCCTCATGGGCTGGAACTTAGAAGCCATTAGCCTCAGAAGGGCAAATGCAGCCAGCTCTCTATCACCTTTCCTCCACACCCACAGCAGACATGACTAATCAATCAGCACATTTCTTTCCTGAGCCACAATTTCCTGGCAGTTCCAACCAGTAGCTAGTTGATCACATGATGAAATCCATCCCCTATCCCACCCCTAAAATCAATTCATAAATGGTGACTCTTGTGCTGGGGTGGGGGGAGGGCAGCGTGACTTCCAGGTCCTGGTATTGGGGGGAGGGGCAGTGTGCAAGAGTGTGGAAAAGCTTCCTCCAAGCCTGGGAGTTTGTGCAGGTCAAGGAGCAAAGCCAGCTTTCCAAGAAAAATGGCGTCCGAAAACAGGACAAGGATCAGCCCCAGGCAGTAGGCTGAGGGTGCTGGGAACCTGTTCTCAGAGAACAGTGCAGGACCACAAGGAAACCCATGCTGATTCAGAGGGCACAGTTTTCCTGAGATGGTACTACCCGTCAGAGGAGGAAGAAGTAAGCTCTGTCCTTTCAGGTAAGCAACACACCAAGTTCAAAACCATTCAGCTGGTCCCAAGTCTCCGGGAGTTCACCACTCAGCTCTGTGGGTCCCGGGTTTGCTGTGGGATCTACAGAGGGAAGCATGGTATGTTGAGCTCAGAAGTCAGAGGAATAGCATGATTTCTGGGGTCGGGGTTAAGGATGGGCTTTGGGGAGTCCTACCATAGTCCTGGCAGTCTGGACCCTGGAAGCCTGGGCAGCACCTCCAGGCCACAGAGATCAGCACCTTCTGTTGGATCTGGTACACTGGCTTCTGGGCCACACGGTACCTGAGGAAGAAGGCAGGGGCTCAGCACCTCTGGTGGGCGCACTGGGCCTGGAAATGTTCATCCCACTCACATGACTTTGACTCTCTGGCAGTCAGGAGACCCCTGTGGACACGGCTGCTGTGAATGGACCAGGAATTTCTCTGTTTTGCAAGCAGCTACAAAGGTGACCAATCTAGACTTCTGATAAGGGCACCAGTTCCTGGAAAAGAAGCCATAGAAGAGGGTTGCTGAGCCTTGCCTGGCTCCTGATGCCCTTTCCCAGATGTCTAGGGATGCCCCACTGAGCCTCCACCCAGTCCAGCGTGGTATTCTGGAAACCATTGAATTCCAGAGAAGGGAGCTCTTATCTCAATCCCTAGGCTCTACAAAGCCACTCAAAAGAGCCCTTGACCCACTGTCTTCCCCAAACCTCCCCAGGGCCAGTGGAGTGAGGCTGGGGAGTCCCACAGCTGCCTGGAAACTGGGGCTGTCACTATTCCCTTGCCCCCAGAGGACATCATGGTACAGGTGGGGCTTTCTGGTTATATGACCTTGAGTGGCACACTTAAGGAGTTCTTATTTTCCCATCTGTAGTTGGCGGTGGTGACACCCCTTTCTAAGTGAGCTGAGAATCAAATTCTCTGGGAGCACTTTGTGCCTCATCCTGGCAGCTGCCCAATTCTTCCCCCATTTTTTCTCACCAGAATTTGTCTGTGCCTACTACTTCCTGGCCCTGCCTAATGGACAGTTGGCTTTTTTAGCAGTTACTGGGGAAGGAAGGTGGCTGAGGGGAACAGCCTCCTCTCTGGGAAAGGCCTCCATTTAGTAATCCTGCAGAGCAGTTGCGGGGGGGTGGGAGGGTCACATTCAGTATCCTCAACACTTGAAGGCAGTCTCTCCATTTTTACCCCTTGTCTGTATGAACTGTAGAGGGATAGGGAACAAGCTCACTGACTTGGGGGCTAGCTCCCTGGGTTCAATGCAAAGGCCACATTATCATTCCCTCATAATTAGCTACCAGAACAAATCTCTCCAGAGATGCAAGTGGCCATGGCCTCTGCTGCCCCAGGCAACTCAGTACTCTTGGGTGACATTCTCTTGCACTGCACTTGCAGTGACAGCATGGACAGGCAGAACTTCCCTTAAGGGTCCCAAGGAGAACAGGCAATCTCAGGAGAAGAGATGCAGTTAGAAACTATAAATGGTCTGATTACAGAGCTATGTCTAAAGGGTGAGTTAGACAAGGAGCTGGGAGTGTGCACAGGGCTGTGGATGTCGGAAGGGACTGAAGATGGAGACAAGGGAACTAGAAGCCTAACTAGGGAGGCATGGATACCCAAGGAAGAACTAGGCCATTTCTTGAGGCTGTGGGACACAGAGAGAGGTTTCAAGCCAGGAAGCAATGCCACAGAGGTACTCTGGTCCTAGGATCCAGAAAGGATGGAGCCAGTAAGATATGGATGGTTTAGGGTAGAGGCTAGAGGAGAAATATGGGCATTTGGATCAAGTGATGGGGACATGGAGGAAGTGGCCATATCTGGTAGTCATCAGAGAGCAATGCTCAGGGGCTTTACTGGTTGGGTGGCTTGTTGGTATTGAAATTGCACTTTCGGGAGCTGCTATTGCCCTGGGGCCATCAGGCACCATTAAAGGTAGTGGGGGTGTGGGGTGGCGGAAGGACTTAATGGTCATTGTGTGACCACATCCATTGTGATCCTGAGACACATATACACCCCACCCCACAACATGGCCTGCTCTCCCAGCAGGCTCTTAGAAGCCTGACAGGCAGCCTTTACCTCTGGGCAGCAGGCTAGAAAAGCTTAGCAGGAAAACTACCTAGTCCCAGCAAAAGAGACCTGGAGATGGGGACATCAGGGGAGCTTCCCAGCAAACTGCCCAACAGAGACTCCTGTACCAAAACAGCTCAGAAGGCACAACTGGACAGCTAAGGATGAACCCTGAGAAAACTCTGCTACAAAACAAGGAAGCTGCACCAAGGTGTTAGAGCACATGTCTGGCATATATGAGGTCCTAATTAAATCCTCGATACTGAAAAGAACAAAAAAGATCAGCAGGAGGTCAAAACGGACAAAAGGGAGAGGGTTAAGTTTGGAGAGAATCACAACTGCAAGAAAAAGGAATACTGCCCTCAAATTTACACCAGTACTGCCAAATAGGTAAGAGAAGTTGCTACATGGAAGAAACAAGACAGGAACTATGTGGGGGGTGGAGGAAGCATAAGGGGTTGGCAAGGTATTAAGAGAACACTTGAAAAATGAAAAGACTACAGGGTCAGGCTGTGGTGGTGCACACCTTTAGTCCCAGCACTCAGGAGGCAGAGGCAGGTAGATCTCTGTGAGTTCGAGGCTAGCCTGGTCTGCAGAGCTAGCTCCAGGAAAGCCAGGGCGACACAGAGAAACCTGCTCTCAGAGAACCAAGAAAAGAAAGAAAAAGAAAATGAAAAGACTACATTAGACATGATAACAAAGACAAAACCAGGTTGGGCACATAGTTCAGAGTCAGAGTGCTTGTCGAGCAGATAGGAAGTATGGGCTAGATTTCCAGCACCATGTAAAAACAGGTGTGGTAGCATAGGCCTGTCATCCCAGCAATTAGATTAGAAGGTGGAAGCAGGAGGATCAGGTTTGCAAGGCCAACATCAGCACCACCTACATAATGAGTATTAGGCTAGCCTGGGCTATATGAGACCCTGTTTAAAAAACAAAAAACAAACAAACAAACAAAAAACCAGACACTAGAGAGATGGCACAGTGGTTTAAGAGCACTGCTACTCTGGTAGAGAACCCAGGTTCAGTTCCCAGCACCCACATGTCAGGTCACAAACATCTCTAACTTCAACTCTTCTGACTGCCATGGGCACCCAGCATCCATTTGTGTGTGTGTGTGTGTGTGTGTGTGTGTGTGTGTGTGTGTCTGCAGACAGAACACTCGTACACCTAAGTAAAATATAAATAACAACAAAAGCAAACAAATAACAACAAGACAGGAAGAGCAAGTGGAAATGAAAATAAGAGAAGGAAGCTAGAGCATCTGTCACAGGTTCAACATCCAAAGGACAGTGATGACAGCAAAGGGAAGAAGTGTGTGTGTGTGTGTGTGTGTGTGTGTGTGTGTGTGTGTGTCTGAATGTATCTGTGTGTGTGCTTGTGTGTGTATATATGTGTGTGTTGGTGTGTATGTGTCTGTGTGTTGTGTGGCATGTGTGTGTCTGCGTGTGTGTGTGTGTGTGTGTGTGTGTGTGTGTGTGTGTGGTGTATGTCTATATATGTCTGTTTGTGGTGTGTGTGTTCCAGAGATGAAAAGACTTGAGCTTTCAGCTGTAAAAGGTCCACCAAGAGCCTGTAATAAGATAGAAATAAACTCACATCAAAGCCTACTACTATGAAATTTTAAGAACTCTGAGAGCAAGATGGTTATGTCTACATTTATAGAAAGAAAAATCAACAGACATACTCTGGGGGTGGGGGAGGGAAAGGGAGAGAAGAGGGAGAAGGAAGAAGAGAGAGTTCTTTTTGGATCCTGGGACCAGAGTACTTGTATGATATTGTTTCCCTGCTTGAAACCTCTCTCTGCTTCCCACGGCCTCTATCTCAAAAACAAACAAACAAATTAGATATACTACAGAGATCAATGGCAAAGGCATTGCCTAATAATTTGCATGTATGCCTGATTGCTGAGAGAGAGAGAGAGAGAGAGAGAGAGAGAGAGAGAGAGAGAGAGAGAGAGAGAATGACCTTGAACCTCTTAACATCCCCTGGAACAGGAATATAGTGAGAATTATATTAAAAATATCGCCAGCCTAGAATCCTGTGTACATATTATCTGTCAGTCAACAGAAGAATACAGAGTAGACACGTTTTCAAACACAGTATTGCAACCAGGTCATCTACTTAGCATGCCAAACTGGGAGGATTGCTTGAGCTCAGAGTTCAAGGTCAGCCTGAGCAACAGTGTGAAACCTCTACCTCAAAAACAAACAAACAAACAAACAAATCAGATGTATCAGGTTTCTAACCTGCTGTCTCCCATGTAATAATGTGGTTCAAAACCTTGCCTATACATCAAAACCATCTGTGGCTTTCGAAAAGCCAAATTCCCTTGTGGGTTGACAGTGCATCTTGATGGTCCAGCATGTGTTTAGCATGCCAGAGAGCCAATCCCCAGTGTCACGATCATGTAATAACAGTCTCTAAGCCCAACCCTAGACCAGTTTCAGGAGACCCCACATCTGGGCCAGAGCATCAGCATTCTAGAACTCTCTGGGCCATTCCAAGGCACAGCCTAGAAGTGAGTGTGCCACTGGAGCACAGGAAATGCACTAGTGCAAGAAAGTGAAAGAGCCTGTTGTGGTAGAGATTGCTTATAATTCCAGCACTCGGGAGGGAGGCTGAGGCTAGCCAGAACTACGTAGTGATTTCAGTCTTTTGAGGCTGGAGAGATGGCTCAGTGTTCAAGAGAGCTGGTTGCTTTTCCAGAGGACCCGGGTCCAATTCCTAGCACCCACATGGCAGCTCACAACCATCTGTAACTCCAGTTCCAGGAAATCCAACACCTTCTTCTGGCCTCTTTAGGCAGCAGGCATACACATGATACACAGACATATGTAAAGGCAAACATTCAGGACAATGGTGGGAAATGCAGGAGTCCAGAGAGCACCCTGCAAGGCTGGGAGAATCTTTACCCAGAGCACACAGTTGGTTGAGAACACAAAGTTGTTGGTTGAGAACACACAGTTGAGCTTTTAAACAGTGACAAAAACACAGAAAACCAAGCAAAGGAGGGGGGAAAAATGTTTTAATCCAGGGAAAACTAAAAGCATGCAGAGGAAAACATGATTCATAGTTTATTTCAAGACTGAAGTAGATATCAGTTACATGACTAGCTATGAGGATGGTGAGGACTCTGTGTGTGTGTGTGTGTGTGTGTGTAAGAGAGAGAGAAGAGAGAGAGAGAAAGAGACAGAGAGAGAGAGAGGGAAAGACTCACACTGACTCACACCACTTCCAAAGAAGTAGCAATGTTAAGTATGCAATTCAGAAATACAGAGATCAATGACAAAAGAATTGCCTAATGAGTTGAAAGTTACCACTTTGGGTTACAGAGGAGACTAGGTCTTTCAATGGTCTCAGTAAAGCTTGTAGAATTTACTGGCTTCAATCCAGGAGTGTCATGCTTAGCTGTGAACTTCAGTGAGGTGAC